ACCTGAAGTACTATTTGGTGTACTGAGTGGACTTTTGAATTTTCAATTTACATTTGAGTCCTTTGTTCTGTGACTCGTGAACTTGGACCTCTCCCTATTTGCACAATTTATATGAATTTCAAGATTTGTATTGAGGTTGTTTGGTGTGTTTGTTATCGCTGATTATGTAGATAATTTGTAAGCATCATATTTAGTGTCTTTTGAGTATTTGGGGGGGGGTTAATTACACGGAGGATTCCCCCCCCCTTTTTGCATTCACCTGCGGGTCACGGATGCCCACAGGGCCTGCAGGCCACTCAGGATGCTGATGCTTTGTGGGCCACCCACATGCCCTCCTCCACCGGCACAGGGCAGCACATGGAGCTGAAAGCACAGGTGACAAAGCTTCACAAACAGGCAGTGGGAGGGTTGGGAGTGCAGCGGTCAGAGGAGACGCAGGAGTCGGGAGTCAAGAGCGGCAGGCCCTGCCAGGAGCTGTGGGCCCTGCAGCTGTCCCGCTTCAGGGTATGCGGATGCCGGCCCTGCCCGCAGCCGCTCTGCCATCGTCCCGCCCTGAAATGGCCCCACGGAACTGCTAGCTCCCTTGCGGGGGTAAGACACACAGGTCCTTGTACAGATCCTGATTGAGACTGGCACGTCGGACCGTGCAAGGAAGAAAGCAGGGCTATTTTCAGGCAAGGAAAATGGCACCAGGGGAACAGTGAAGGCCCATCCTGCGCGCCATCTCACAGTTCCAATCCAAACTGGAGGAGGAGGAGGAGATTGGATTTATACCCCGCCCTTCACTCCCCAAAGGAGTCTCTGAGACTCCTTTGGGTAGTGAAGAGTAGGGTATAAATCCAATCTCCTCCTCCTCTTCTTCTTCAGAGCGGCTTACAATCTCCTTTCCCTCCCCCTCCCCACAACAGACACCCTGTGAGGGAGGTGGGGCTGAGAGAGCTCTGTGAGAGCTACTCCTGAGAGAACAGCTCTGAGAAAACTTGTGACTGACCCAAGATCACACCAGCAGCTGCATGTGGAGGAGTGGGGAATCAAACCCGGTTCTCCCAGATTAGAGTCCGCACTCCTAACCACTACACCTGCCTGGAGTCCTACGCAGCTGCCTTTAAAAAAATCAAGAAACGTTTAGGTGGGTTCATTCACAGAATTCCCATCCGATCTGCTTTCTTTTCACAATGCACGGCCTGCCCTTAGATTCGTTCTGAACTGTTCTTAACAATTTACGAGATATTTTACTAATATCTCTGACCAAAAGAACAAACCTTCTTAACGCCTTTTAAATTACTGCAGGAGAGATTACTGCAGAACAAAGGAACACACTGTGAAAAGGGCAGATAAGAATCTTCCAGGATGCCCACTAATGGAGGAGAGCAGGACAGGAATGAAAATTACTTAAGTGATCCTGGGTGTCAAAATAAGGGTTTTATGTCCCTGTGAAACGCTGGAAATGACCCCGGATTACACGGCACCATACAGAAAGCTTTTAAGCGGCAAGGTATGACTTATGGCCATTAGTCCTTCTTAGGAAAGTGGCTGGCCTCTGTTAAAGTCACAAAAGAAGCAAAAAAAGAAATAAAAAGGTGTACCCACAGACAAATTAGGGGTCTTTCCTTACTCAGTGGACTCTCCACAGTATGCAGAAATTTACTGAAGGGGCGGGGGAGGAGGAGACCACACCAAAACAGCATGATGAAAACTGGATCTGCTCCAGTGGGCATGGAAGACTGAAAGTCAGTTAAAGGAGGAAAGGGAAGAAATCAGCCCACTTACGCCTCTTAGAGAATCCTGCAGAGGGAGACGCTGAGGCTGGGCAGGATTTGTTCTCCCTCCCGCGATGGCTCGTGAGAACCCAGATTTGTCTGCATGGACTCCCAAAGCAAATCTAAGTGTTCTTCTCACATCAGGACACAGAAATGGGTTCTGCCTTGAATTATTACTCATTCATTCATAGATATGTTTATCTACCGTATCTTAGCGGCCTGTCGATAATGGTGAAATTTTCGAACTGAATCCTGAAGGTGAGAAGCCCCTTTGAGGCTGCACAGATACTTTCCAGACTGGACAGAACAACATAATAAAAATATCTACATCTCATCTTTCAGCATGAAAATGAGATCCCCAGTTTTCGTTCTGGCTAGTCGTTTTGCTTATGAACAAGAAGAAGAAGAAGAAGAAAAGATTGGATTTATACCCCGCCCTTCACTCAGAGTCTCAGAGCGGCTTACAAACTCCTTTCCCTTCCCCTCCCCACAACAGACACCCTGTGAGGTAGGCAGGGCTGAGAGAGCTCTTTCGAGAACTGCTCTTTCAAAGGCAGCTCTTGTCAGAACTATGGCTTGCCCAAGGTCATCCAGCAACTGCAAGTGGAGGAATGGAGAATCAAACCCTGTTCTCCCAGATTAGAGTCCACACACTTAACCACTACACATAGTTGGTTTTTATACCCCACTTTTCTCTACTCTTAAGGAGTCTCAAAGCAGCTTACAATCACCTTCCCTTCCTCTCCCCACAACAGGCACCCTGTGAGGTTAAGTGGGGTTGAGAGAGTTTGGAGAGAACTGTGACTGGCCCATGGTCACCCAGCAGGCTTCTTGTGGAGGACTGGGGAATCAAACCCGGTTCTTCAGATTAGAATCCACCACTCTTGACCACTACACCACACTGGCCCTCGTGATAAAGCTGCCTTCCACCAAGCCAGACCCTCGGTTTATCAAGGTTGGTCTTGTCTACTGTGACCTGCAGCTGCTTTCCAAGGAGAAGTCTTACACATCACCTATGACCTGATCCTGTTTAACTGGAGATGCTGGGGACTGACCCTCGGACCTTCTTTATGGAAAGCAGAGGCCAGCCCCTCCTGGGTGTGTGTGTTTGTATGGGGGGGGGGTGGCAGGGGAATCCTGCACCAATCCTGGCACAGTCTGGAAACAGAAATAGATATTATATAAATATACCATAATGCTGTGTTTTATTTTTTAAAAAATCAATTATTACACTACTGTCATGAAGATAAAGAGAGCTCAGTAAGACAAAGAGGCAGTAAACACATGAAGCTGCCTCATGCTGAATCAGACCCTCGGCCCATCGAGGTTAGTATTGTCTACTCAGGCTGGCAGTAGCTCTCCAGGGTCTCAGGCAGAGGCCTTTCCCATCACCTACTGCCTGGCCCTTTTAACTGGTGATGCCAGGAACTGAACCTGGGACCTTCTGCATGCCACGTAGATGCTCTACCACTGAGCCATAGCCCCTCTCTATGTCTCTCCAGGGTCTCAGGCTGAGGCCTTTCCCATCACCTACTGCCTGGCCCTTTAACTGGAGATGCTGGGACTGAACCTGGGACCTTATGCATGACAAGCAGATGCTCTGCCGCTGAGCCATGGCCCTTCAGCGGGGATTAACTTTGGTCTTCTCCAGAATGACTCGGGCAGCTACCAAGAACAGCCAGTTGGAGCACATTTGGGGAACATTTATGTCACTTCTCCAATAGATTATTCATACCCCGTTTCCCACTTTCCCCCTCCACTGTCTTTGCAACCAAACATACACAGCCAGAACTTGAAGAGGGCACAGCAGTGTTCTTGCACTACCAAGTGTCCACCATTTCCAGCACCACAAATTATGGCCACATTTCCTTTTGCTGTTGGGAGGAAGGCCGGCCCCAAACAGGAGAATCTGAAAGATTTCCCCAAAGCCAACTGTGAGCCAAGAGCTGTGTTTTACTCTAGTATTTCTACCTCTATGCTTGTTCCCACGCTCTGCAGTCAGAACTTTAAAGCTGTCTCTTAGTGGAGGCCAAGTCAGTAGGCATGAACAAAAGCACCTCCTCCTACAGAACTACCCACCCCATGTTTTTGTTTTTGATGCTCCACATAGCAGCAGAAAGCTTTCTGGTATCCCACCAGCTTAAGCAGCTGTCTTAAGCCAAAATAAACTATTCCATTGTAGGGTTGCCAGCCTCCAGGTGGCACCTGGAGATCTCCTGCTATTACAATTGCTTTCCAGGCAACAGAGATCAGTGTCCCCAGAGAAAATGGCTGCTTTGGAGAGTAGACTGTAAGGCATTATACTCTGCTGAGCTCCCTCCCCTCCCCAAATCCCACCCTCCTCAGGTTCCACCCCCAAAATCTCCAGGTATTTCCCAACCCAGAGCTGGCAACCCTATCCATTTAACTGTCGTGGGTCAGCCAGGGCTCAACAATAGCAAGGACTCCTCAGAAGAAGAGGACTCAGAGGTTCCTGTGTAGCCAGCCTGGAGTTAACAGAGGCCGACCCGCAGGGAAATAAGTTGCAAGCTTGTCAGGATTCACAGCCAACAGCTGGTGCAGAGCCACCGACACCCCCCAGCCCTGATTCAGCAGGTGAACCTCCGTTGGCCATTCCCTGCCCACCAGTATCACCTACACCCTTAGAGCGCCGCAGACGAAGGCTGAGAACAGAGCTACTTACAAGACAGCAAAGTGCACACCTCCTGGCCTGACGCCAGCAGCTTGCTGTTAACAAAGATGAGTAGTTGCAGAATTGTTTCTGAGCAGCTGGCTGCAAGCATGACCCTTAGGCATGGGGCTACAAAAAACAGCCCAGAGAGGCTGTTTGGTGTAGATGCAACAAGTATGATAGATGCTAAGCCACCGGCTCTGCCTTGCCTGACTTCTGGATCCCTGAACTTGGACTGAACAACTCTGCCTTGCCTGATTTCTGGCACCTGATACTCAGAGCCTGCAAGCCAGTGCATTAACAAAGGCAAGGTTACAATCCTGCTTATGCTTATGCTTTCAGTCTCACAAGCAACTCTTTGGGGTTCTCGTGGATGTAAAGCCCTACCTTAGGAGGGAAGCTGAACTTTATGATGTTATTATACCCACTGTAGAAAGCTGAAGAAGGGAGGAGCATCCATTCTTGCTACACTGTAGAAAGCTGAAGGGAGGGACATCCATGCTTGCTACAACAGAACATGCGGGGGGAAAGGACAAGGTATCCCCCCCCCCAAAAAAAGGTCTTCTTACCAGCTTCTCTATATTGACCAGTCCGTCCACCAAGGTTTTGCTGGCTTCATGCAAAAAGGTCAGGTCTGAGAGTAAGAAAAGAAACAAAAACAGGTGAGAGGGAAGGACTGAAATGCTAGTGAGTAGTAGTGACACTGAACTTCTACTAGCAGTAGAAAAGAGCAAGAGTCCAGAGGCGCCTTAAAGATTAACAAAATTGGTGGCAGGGTAGGAGCTTTCGTGAGTCACATGACTCATGAAAACTCCTACCCTGCCACCAATTTTGTTAGTCTTTAAGGTGCTTTGGACTCTTGCTCTTTTCTACTGCTATAGACAATCTAACATGGCTACCAATCTTGATGAATTTCTACTAAGAAAGGTTCCAGGTCAGTATCTGTAGCCGTTGGCCTGTAAGCCGCTTCCCATAACCCCAGAGCTGACTGCGGTTATTCACTGGTGAGGGAAAAAGGAAAAAAAAAACATTCTGGGGCAAATCCTTTCTTCGAAGAAAATATATTAGATTCATACCCCACCCATCACTACTCAAAGGAGTCTCAGGCTGCGGTCACACAGACCTCTTACCGCGCTAGTTTTCCCGCAGTTCTTCTATCCGCGACATTTTATATCGCTTGGAGGTGGTCAGACGGTCCCTCTGTCTTCCACTTCACTCGCACGAAGTACTGATCACACAGCACGCCGTCCCCGCGCATGCGCTTGGGCGTACATACAAAAAAACAAAAAACCTGCGCATGCGCTTGGGCGTACATACAAACTAAGAAGACAAAAAAAAAACCTAGCGCCTGTTTGCACAATCGCATAACTTAAACCGGAAACACAAAAAAGCGCGGTCATGGCGGATTGCTGTCCAGATACCAAAACCGCGGATACAAAGCGCAAGATATCAGAAAACACCTGTTCCCACGGGTGTCAGAAAACGCGGATAAAAAGAGCGGAAACTGCGGGACTCAGCCCGCTTCAGTGCGGGAGGCGGGTTTGCCAATATGAACAGGAAACTTTAATGCGCGAGGGATCAGCAGCGAAGCCCGCACTAAATGTCCGTGTGACCTGACCCTCAGAGCGGCTTACAAACTCCTTTCCCTTCCCCTCCCCACAACAGAAGCCCTGTGAGGTAGGTGGGATTGAGAGAGCTCTGACAGAAACTGCTCTTGAGAGAACAGCTCTTGTCAGAACTATGGCTTGCCCAAGGTCACACCAGCAGGTGCAAGTGGAGGAGTGGGGGATCAAACCCGGTTCTCCCAGATTAGAGTCCACACACAACCACTACACCAAACTGGCTCATTACCAGAAAGCAAAATTCCTTCATTATGATGAATGCCACGTAGGGAAGGGCTTATGTATAGTAAGGCTCTAGCCCTAGCCAATGGCACGGTGTTTTGAAAACACATTGCACGTACATAAAGCTGCGCACATGGGATCTGGTCAGGGAGGGTGAGGGCATGCACAGCATTCTAAGATGCATACTCATTTTGCACAGGGCGAGGTCTGTCAGGTCTCACTCACCGCCAGTGTTCCCTCTAAGCTGAGTTAGTATGAGCTAGCTCACAGTTCTTTTGCCTCTCGTTCACACATTTTTGCCTTAGCTCAGGAAGGATGGCTCCAGAGCCAACTAATTTATCCAGTAACCAAATTGCTCGCTCACAATTTTAATGTCAGTAGCTCAACAAGTAGAATTTTTGCTCACAAGATTCCACATCTTAGAGGGAGCATTGCTCTCCACTGTGCCTGAAGTGAGAGGGAAACCTAGAATATGCCCAAGACTTTCCCTGCAGCTGTCTATATTGCCAGGTTGCCAAGCGGTGCGGGTTTTTTTGGTTCTCATGACAACAGCGTTGCCAGCTGAGCTGCTGCTCAGCTGCAGGGGAAACGAGGAGCCCAGATCCGACTGGTTTTGAACGTTCACGTCTCATTTGCCCAGGAACTGGCTTCTGTATAGGAGACGATATTATTTTGAATGCCCTCCCTCCCCAGCTCAAATCCCACCCACCTTCACAACCCGGACTTTTGAGTTCCGTTTCAGAAACCAGGACTCGACTATGAAAGCAACGACTGACCTCTCCCCACCCTCCCGATTCAGGATGCACAAGGACGTGGTGAATGGAACAGACACCAGGACCACAGTGGGTGTGGCTCACCTTTTAGGATGAGGGGCACGAAGGGGATGATGGGGGGTTTCATCCTAGAGAGGACTTCTCTGTAGCTCTTATGATTCCGACAGGGGTCCTGCAATAGGAAGGAGCAGTTAGACTGCTGTAGAAGAGAACAGGAATTTTAAAAGCAGTAGCAATAAATTGGGGGCGTGGCGGAGGGTTGCCACTTCCCCTTGGCCACCAGTGGGGATTGGGGGGGGGGGATAGGGTTGCCAGATCCAGGTTGGGAAACTCCTGGAGATTTGGGGATGGAGCCTGGGGAGGACAGGGACCTCAGTGGGGTACACAATGCCACAGAGCCCACCCTCCAAAACATCCATTTTCTCCAGGGGAACTGATCTCCGTAGTCTGGAGATGAGCTGTCATTCCGGGGGATCCCCAGGCCCCACCTGGAGGTTGGCATCCCTTGCTGGAGGTGTGTGTCACATCTGAAGCTGAGCTCACCAAAGGGCAAAAGACCCATGAATTATCCTCTGTGTGTGTCTGTGTGGGGCTAATTAGACTACTTGGTATTTACCTAGTCATATAGCTTGTTTCCGTGTCTTAATCAGGGGTCATTTCCTACAGGAGCGCACAGGAGCTGAGCTCCGGCGGTAAAGAGCCCACGGGGCAAGCACATGCAACAAGCCCCACCCCCTGCTCCCAGCAGCCCCAGGCCACGAGAAGCAAGAAGCCTTTCTTTCTTTCTTTCTTTCTTTCTTTCTTTCTTTCTTTCTTTCTTTCTTTCTTTCTTTCTTTCTTTCTTTCCTTCCTTCCTTCCTTCCTTCCTTCCTTCCTTCCTTCCTTCCTTCCTTCCTTCCTTCCCTATTTCCTTCTCTCCCTCTTTCTTTCCCTCCTTCTTTCCTTCTCTTCTCCTTCTTTCCTTCCCTCCTTCTTTCCTTCCTTCCTTCCTGCACAGATCTGCACATTCCCCCCTCCCCCCCAGCTAGCAATCCAAAACAGTCCAGTGGCATCTTTAAGGCCAAGGTTTATTCAGGTACAAGCTCTCCCTCCTCTGCTAGGGCAGATCTGCACATTCCCCCCTCCCCCTAGCTAGCAATCCAAACCAGTCCAGTGGAGCCTGGGTGGTGGGTGTTGCCTTCTGACACACTTCCGGTGATGTCAGGGGGTGTGGCATATGCAAATAAGTTATGCTAATGAGTTATGCTAATGAGCGCCTGCACCTCTTTTTCTACGAAATGACCCCTGGTCTTAATTATTCAAAAATACCATGCATAAATTCTCTCTGTGATTCTTGCCATAATGTTAAACGGTGGCTATCTATGGCTGCCAGCTCTGGATTGTGAAATTCCTGGAGATTTTGCGGGTGGAGCCTGAGGAAGACAGCATTTGGGGAGGGGGGAGGACCTTAGTGGGGAATAATGCCACAGGATAATGAAACTGAAGCTCAAAGACTTTGCCCAACCAATGAGAAGGGAGCACTCCCTGGAGAAGACCGTGATGCTGGGAAAGATTGAAGGTCAAAGAAGACGGGGACGGCAAAGGAGGAGATGGTTAGACAGTGTCATCGATGCAACGAACATGAAATTGAGCCAACTTCAGAGGACAGCGGAAGACAGGAGGGCCTGGCGTGATCTGGTCCATGGGGTTGCGAAGAGTCGGACTCGACTGTGCGACTGAACAACAACAAATGCCACAGAGCCCACCTCCCAAAGCAGACCTTTTCTCCAGAGGAACAGATCTCTTTAATTTGGAAACCAGTTGTAATTCCAGAAGATCTCCAGCTCCCCACACAGAGACTAGCAATCCTACGGTTATCTGAAGGCTTCTCTAGAGCCAGCCGGCAACAGGCCCACTTGGTGGTGGTGGCGGTGGTGGCGGTGGTGGGGACTGGTGACTCCAAATTGTTTTATGAATTGTTTTTAGATGCTTGTGATATTTATTGTTAACATGTTTTTATGAAGTTAGCCACCCTGAGCCTGCTTTGGCAGCGAGGGCGGGGTACAAGTTTAAGAAATAAATAAAATAAATAAATTTCCTGCCTCACTGTTGTCTCGTACAAGAGGCCAGCTGGACTCAATGCCTGCAATCTCAGGGCTTCAACAAGAGCTACAAGCCTCTCTAGGTAAAGGTAAAGGTTTCCCTTGCTCGAAAGCCAGTCAAATCTGACTCTAGGGTTGCGGTGCTCATCTCTGTTTCCAAGCCAAAGAGCCAGCGCTGTCCGAAGACGTTTCCGTGGTCATGTGGCCGGCATGACTAGACGCTGAGGCGCACGGAACGCTGTTACCTTCCCACCGAAGCGGTACCTATTTATCTACTTGCAATTTCTTGCTTTCGAACTGCTAGGTTGGCAGGAGCTGGAACCACAGACAGGAGCTCACTCTGTCACGCGGCACTCGGGTCTCGAACTGCTGAACTACCGACCTTCCAGCCTGCAGTTCAGCGTCTTAACCACTGAGCCACCACAGCTCCAATAGAAGCCTCTCTAGGGATCCATAAATGCTGATTATAACCATTTGCTGGACTTGGACTCACAGCAAATACTCTCCTGCTGCAAAGAGGAGCCCTTGCTAGGTCTTCCTGCTAAGCGTGAAAGGCAGCAGGTATGGATTCGTAAGAGAGGCTTCGTCTTCCTCCTCTCTTCCACTAAGGACCAGTGAGTTGCTTTCCTCTTTGTTTTTCTTTAAATGTGTCGGCAGAGGGACCCAGAGGGGATTCCCCCCCCCCCTGAGGAGGGTGGAGCACAGCAGCAGTGGTCACGGCTCAGCTGTTATGTAAACGGGGGAATTTCCAGCTCATCTCCTGTGTTCTTAAGCATAACACTACACCCGCTCTGTTTCAGGTGCTCACCGTGAGATTCTCAAATTTCCGGAACAGGTTCTTAAATTTGCCGGGAAGCTTCTGAAACAGCAAAAAATCAGAAAAGGAAAGGAAAGAAAATTCAGCGACAGAGGGAAAAGGTTCCAAACATTACAAGAAAGCAGCTATAACTCGTAACTGTGCTTCAGTCAACCTTGCTCAGTCGTCTACAGTTTTCAGTTTGGGTTATCCAAACTCATTTATGGGGATGGACAGATAATGAATATCCAGATCTGGGAGAGGATATGTTTATAACATATGTTTATGTATACCTCTTACACTGGGGAAAGCAAATCCACTCCAGTATGTTTATGTATGCCTCTTACACTGGAGAAAGCAAATCCACTCCAGTAGTGGTGCCCTTGGGGTTGCATCCTTGCTGACCTGTAGCACTCAGGACGGGCATAAGAAAATAAGAGAACATGGCCAATAGCCCATCCAGTCCAACACTTTGTGGCCAAAACCCAGGGGCCCTCAGGAGGTCCACCAGTGGGGCCAGAATTCCAGAAACCCCCCACTGGGGCCCTCCCAAGCACCAAGAATGCAGAGCACCACTACCACAGAAATAAGAACATAAGAGAAGCCATGTTGGATCAGGCCAATGGCCCATCCAGTCCAACACTCTGTGCTGCACAGTGTCCAAAACCAAGGTGCCGTCAGGCAGTCCACCAGCGGGGCCAGACGACTGAGCAGAAGATTTCAAGCCATGATTGCCTCACCACTGTGAGTCAGCCTAGGTGTTGGCTGTGTTTGGCCAACCCTGAGGTGAAGCCTGTCTGAAGAGCAAGATCTCTTATGCAAGGACTTGCCTGATGACAAGCTCTGCCCTTTACATCCAAGGGAGTGGCAGGTTCAGCTCAGGGAAAAGGAAACCACCCCCAAAATGTACTTGGAACTGTTGTAAGAACACTTTTCTAGACTTTGCAACCACTTTGCAAAAGTGTAAAGTAAAGGTTAAAGTTCCCTTATTTGAAAGCCAGTTGAATCCGACTCTAGGGTTGCGGTGCTCATCTCCGTTTCCAAGCCGAAGAGCCAGCGCTGTCCAAAGACGTTTCCGTGGTCATGTGGCCGACATGACTAATCACCAACGCTATTACCTTCCCACTGAAGTGGTACCTATTTATCTACTTGCAATTTCTTGCTTTCGAACTGCTAGGTTGACAGGAGCTGGAACTAGAGACAGGAGCTCACTCCATCAAGCGGCAACTCGGGTCTCGAACTGCTGAACTACCGACCTTCCACAGCCTGTAGTTCAGCATCTTAACCACTTGAGCCACCGCAGAACACAATAAAGCAAAACAGCAAAATATTAAGAAGAGCCCTGCTGGATCAGACCAATAGTCCATCTAGTCCAACATCCTGTCTAACACAGTGGCCAACCAGTTCCTCTGGAGGGCCAACAACAGGGCATAGTTTCCTCCTGGCTTTGGGATTCAGAGGATTAATGCCTCTGAATATGGAGGTTCCCCTCAGTTACCATGGCTAGTAGCCACTGATAGACATTTCCTCCATGAATCTTCTCCATTTAAAGCTGTTTATTCCTGTGGCCATCACAACATCCTCTGGCAGCAAATTCCACATTTCAATAATTCTTTGTGTAAAATAGTACTTCCTTTTGTCCATCCTGAACCTAGGTTTGACAGGAGAGACTGGACAGGAGGTCAAAAATTGCCAGTCTAGCCAAACAGAAAATAATTATCGCTCTTAGAAAGAGGAGGATATTTCTTCCCCAGTTATTCAGCGGGTTCAACTCGGAAGGAACCCCTGGCTTGTGTGAAAAGGGGAATGGTCTTAGATTCCTCAAGAGTAAATAGGGAAAGTTATAAAATCCGATATTTTATCCATTAATAAATTGTTCTAAATTCTAGAATACCATTGTCTCAGGGGGTGCGGTCAGACGGCGTGCTGAGAGCGGATTAAACTGCTCCAGTTCTAACTAGATTATATTTGATCTGGATAATCGCGATCACACTTACCTCCCTTATCCCGCTTCACCACGCAGTCACGTCGCTCCCCAGCGTCTACACTACTGACGCACAGAAGTGTGCGTCGGCGGGGTTTAAAAATTTTTCCCTCAGTTTGCGCATGCGCATAGGCGCCCCTCTGTAGAAGGGGGGGGGACTATCATGGCGCATGCACAGGACCACCAGGGCAAATCAATCCAACCCCTCCAACAAAAGACTGCCATTTAAATGTTTGACCCGAAAATGGCCTCCGTGAGATCCCAAACTCATCTAAACGCTAAAACAAGTGACCGTTTAAATGTCAGTTTTCTAAACCCGGTGGCAGAGCTCCGCCTATGCACACACCGCATTTAAAAAATGGTGGGCGAAAAGCAGAAGCCTCGGCCAGCTTTCGAGAGGGGAGGTGGTTTAAACCGGAAGTTGCTTGCCACCGCAGGAGCGATCAGACGTCAGAAAAGTGTGGCTAGAACCGGAGAATCAGGAAAACACCACTTGGGGACCTGGTAACAAAATACTCCGTTTTAAAGGGGGTTTGAGCCGGAAAGCGACGGCTGGGGACGGTGCGCAGATGTTGGGTGTGTGAACGTGGATTTAAAATCCGTTACTGAAGCGTGCCAAAAGTGGACTAAATGGCCCGTCTGACCGCACCCTAAGAGTCTCTAAGAATATAAGCTTCAACTACCATATACTCTGTTGCCTGTTCAAAATATTCTGATTTGTATAAACAGCCAAATTTACCTCAGCTTCTCGTCCCCTGCCCTATTCCTAACTCAACAGTGACTGTTCAACAAAATCCACCTTTCTGTTTGAACTTTACTTTGTGTCAAGTGCCATTTCCAAAGGGATTTATGAGAGGGCTCCTGCTGAGTTAACAATAAATGTCTGGCCTGGGCAAATGCCAAATAACTTCTCTGTCACAGGGTGGGGCACGCAGAAAGTTGTAATTCTATAATTAAAACACGCTACAAAGGGGCTGCTCAGTCAGAGTGGGGAAAAGTGTTTTGGCAGGAAAATCTGCCTCACAGAGAAGAAGAAGCAGGGGTCTGTCATATGCCCCACCGTTAACGATGTGTGTTAAGTGCCATCAAGTTGCTTCCGATTAAATTAATGACCCTCCCCAAAAAAACCCCATCCTGTCCTTAACAACCTTGCCCAGCTCTTGCAAGCCGAAGGCCATGGCACCATTATGGATGTGAAGGCTGAAATCCTACGTGTGCTCTCTCAGGACAAAAAGCCACTGAAATCTGTGAAGCTTACTGAGATAACACAAAATCGGGCTGATAAAGGAAGGAGCGGCACCTGTAATGAATACCCAGAAGCAAACTGGCCACTTGTGCTGCTGTCTGACAATATATGAGCTCGTTGTGGGATACAAGGGGGTGATGGGGGTCCTCTGAGGTTATGCTGACCCCCCAAGCCAGAAAATGCAGAGGGTGCTGGGGTGGAAAAGCTGCCGTCCCACTGCACTGAATACAAGGGCCTAAGCTGTCCGTTGAAGTTCTGTCATGCATCCATCCACAGGGCCACCCCCTCAGGACAGAATCACGTTCCTTCCAGAAGCCAGGAAGCACCTCGTTTATTTCCCTCTCAACGATGACCCACTTTGATACCAGAGATTATGTGGAATTGTAAGGTGAGGCAGAACAAAGCAGGGAGAGGAAGCTTTGACAGAATTTGTGCACCCACATCTCCCAACAAACAGCTGTGGTAGACAGGCGGCTGGAAATAAACGGTGAAAGAAAGAGGACCACGGGCAAAAATGGGAACGGGTGCTGGAAAAGTTGATCCGAGTAACACATAAAGCCTATGGGTGACATTTGCATTCCCCCAGGCAGATCTGTGAATCTCCAGTCTGGCCTGGATTCTGAGAATGTCTATTCCTCACACACACACTGTTTTTTTTAAGGGCATGTTTCTAGTTTTTGAAGAGTGCAGAGAGAAGCCTGGAAGCTTCCCCATGACCTTCTCTTTCCACAAATATATAAATCATTAAAAGAAAAGGCATGAAACCCCAGATGCTGGTGGGGGGTGTGTGTGTGTTACAAAATGTCTTGCCCCAGAATTCTTTTTGTGTGGTTTGCAGCCCAGTTGTAAAAAAAAAAAGTTCAGGTTCACTGGTTTCAATGTGATGTAACCAGTGTTCCCTCTAAGCTGAGTTAGTGTGAGCTAGCTCAGTTTTTAGCCTACAGCTCACACATTGTCTTTGCTCAGGAAGGATGGTTCCCTAGCAAACTAATTTATGTGGCAGCCAAATCGCTCCCTCACAACTTTAATGCCAGTAGCTCACAAAGAAGAATTTTTGCTCACAAGACTCCACAGCTTAGAGGGAGCATTGGATGTAAGTCCTGGGACTTCCTTGGGTTCTGAGATCTTCAGAGGAGGCTTGAGTGAGTGTTCTGTGGCCACCCATCAAGTGAGAGGCGGTGCTTCTTCCTTAGTGACTTCTTTCCCCTGGAATTCCCTGCCTATGAAAGCTCATCTGGCTGGTTCTCTGAGAAGATTCCAACGGCAAGCTTGTAAGTGGGAAATATTAGGACTTGCAGGTTCTCTAGTTCTGAGGAACTGGTTTTCTTCTTGCTTTCGTAGACACTTATTGCAGTGTTCTATATTTGAAATAAAGGCCTACTGCGGGCCAAGTCTGGCTGTGGCTCAGTGGAAGAGCCTCTGCTTTGCGTGCAGGAGGTCCCAGGTTCAGTCCCCAGCATCTCCAGCCAAAAGGACCAGGCCACAGGTGATGTGAAAGACCTCAGCCTGAATTCCTTGAGAGCTGCGGCCAGACTGAGTAGACAATACTGACCTTGATGGACCAAGGATCTGATTCAATGTAAGGCAGCTGCATGTGTTCATGTGGATACCATTCTTTTAAAAAACTAAATGAAATACTCTGTATTGCAGAACTGAAAGTGCACCGTTGCAGAATCTGGACAGGTGGAGACTGTACCCAAAATTGGCCCTTGCTTAGATCAACAAAACAGCCTTCCCTTTCCTTAGAAGTCGAGGTTATCTTCCTACCTCCCAGGTGAGACGCAACCGGCTGACAGGTGCATTGTTCAGTCCTATCACCACAGCATAGAACGTCAACATGTCTTGATTCTGTTTGCACCTGCAGGGAGAGAAATGGGGACTGCTGAAAACTGAAACAGTAAAAGTGCAGACGGTAGAAGTCTCTGCAGATTTCACCACTCCTGCCATTCCACTGAGCGCTTCCACCTGCCCCACCCCACCAACAGAGGCCCTGGACCTTTCAAAACTACGTGGCAGGCAGAAATTCAGCAGGTGCAGCTTTTCCCAACAGGTTGCGAGGAGGAGCTGCATCTGCTGTTAAATTTCTGGCTATCACTCCGCTATTCAAGGCTCAGGACTCCTGCCCAGTGTTCCCTCTAAGCCGAGTTAGTGTGAGTTAGCTCACAGTTTTTTAGCCTCCAGCTCACACATTTTTGTCTCGGCTCAGGAAGGATGGCTCCGGAGTAAACTGATTTATGCAGGAGCCAAACCGCTCGCTCCCGACTTTAGTGCCAGTAGCTCACAAAGTAGAATTTTTGCTCACAAGACCCCACAGCTTAGAGGGAGTGTTGCTCCTGTGCCCCCCCCCAACGGGAAACTCTACACCAGAGGTGGCGAAACTTACTTAACGTAAGAGCCACATAGAATAAACGTCAGATGTTTGAGAGCTGCGACATGAACAAACATTGCACGTTTTTATTGGGAAATATACAAATTTGCTTTTTATCAACATTAAATGAGACTGCCAAAAATAACAACAAAAGGGGTAAAAGCAGATATTGATAATGATATTTATTTGTTTGCTAATGACATTTAGCTTCCCCAGCCGCCCTGCCGGGAGCCGCACAATAATAAGCCAGCATGCGGCTCCCGAGGCACAGTTTGGCCACCCCTGCTCTACACCAAGATTCCCTAACGTGGCACCTGTGGGCACCACGGGCCCTGCCCGGTCCTTCCCCTGGCCCTCACCAAGCTTTTCAGAATGTGGGCAGGGCTGGTGTAAGGCAGGGCTTGGTATCAGCTGCCCTAATTTAAATGAAAGCATTTCCCATTAGCTACAATGGCAGCAGCCGCTGCCACTGGAGGATCCTGAACACTTATAAGCACCCAGGTTCGTGGTTCTATTCCCCCCTCAGGCTTTCCTTCTTGTTATTCCCCCCCCCCACACACACACACTTTCTCGCTTCCCTGGAGATATCCCAGAATTGCAACCGGTCTCCAGACAACACAGATCAGCTCCCATGGAGAAAATGGTTGCATCTGAGGGTGGACACAGCATTATCCCCCACTGAAATCTCTCCTCTCCCCAAACCTTACAGTCCCCAGGCTCCACCCCCAAATCTCCATGATCTCCATGATATCCTCCAAATGCCCTTCCCCCTCAGGGAAACCAGTCGCTGACTACGGCTGGTAAAAAGAAGAAGAGATTGGATTTATACCCCGCCGTTCACTACCCGAAGGAGTCTCAGAGTGGCTTACAGTCTCCTTTCCCTTCCCCTCCCCACAACAGACACCCTGTGAGGAAGGTGGGGCTGAGAGAGCTCTCTTGAGAACTGCCCTTGAGAGAAGAGCTCTGAGAGAACTTGTGGCTGACCCAAGGTCACACCAGCAGCTGCATGTGGAGAACCAGGGAACCGAACCTGGTTCTCCCAGATTAGAGTCCAAGCTCCTAACCACTACACCAAACTGGCTCTCTAGGAGTGGGACAATAAAATGAAAGAGGAAAGATAGAAAAAGCAGGGATTTCCCTGTGCAGGGCTGGCATCTGTCAAAGAAGGCAAGGACCTCTTAGCTTCTGCTTAGAGAACCAAACCTCCTTTTGACACTAAGTAAAAGGCGGTGGCTCAGTGGTTAAGATGCTGAGCTGCAGACCGGAAGGTCTGTAGTTTGGCAGTTTGAGACCCGAGTGCCGCATGACGGAGTCAGCTCCCGTCTCTGGTCCCAGCTCCTGCCAACCTAGCAGTTCAAAAGCAGGAAATTGCGAGTAGATAAATAGGTACCGCTTCGGTGGGAAGGTAACAGCGTTCCATGCACCTTGGCATTTAGTCATGCCGGCCACATGACCATGGAAACATCTTCGGACAGCGCTGGTTCTTTGGCTTGGAAACAGAGATGAGCACTGCAACCCTAGAGTCGGATTCAACTGGCTTTCAAGCAAGGGAAACCTTTATCTTTATATAAAAGGTGGATGAGCCCTTCTCCGGGCCAGAAAGCTTAGTCCTACTTCCAAATACATTTCAGGGCTCTGCTCAGCCTCCCCGCCCCACCCCACCCCACCCCCATTTTAAAGAAGCATGCCAGAGAAAGAGGTCGAAGCAACAATGCAGCTGTCGCGGGTCATTAGAGTCAGGCCGGGTGATGGTGTGTGTGACTTCGCTAGCTGTGACTGCCAAGGGAAGGGAAGGCAGGAGACTGCCTGTGCGTGCTGGGGGGAAAGACGAGGAGGTGCTCTGTGAGGCTGAGCCAAGTGATGGGAATTAAAACAACAACAACAGTGATTTCACAGTGCTAGCTGGGCATCTGGCACAGACGCTGGGCATCCTCAGAAGCTTCACTTCCCTGTTTCACAAAAGTGACAAATGTCAGGGTAGAACAACTTTAAGAGTCCAGTGGCACCTTTAAGACTAACAAAGGTTTATTCTATTTGACAAAGTGTGCCTTGCACACGAAAGCTCATACCTTGAATAAACCTTTGTTGGTCTTAAAGGTGCCCCACTGGACTCTTAAACTTGTTCTGCTGCTTCAGACCAACACGGCTGACCTCCTGCAACTAATGTCAGGGTAGATTCAGACAAGACACTGGCTTAAAAAAAAAAAAAGCTAGCTACCTGGCATACCTGTAATCCCCAAACCCCAGAACCACCCCACTTTCTGAGGCTGCTGAAATCCAGGGAAACTCAGGGGTACTGAATCTGAGCACTGGATTGCTGAGATCTGGTCCAGCATCTTCAGGGTTTTTAACCTCCTTCTCAAGGTAGAGGATGGTGTTGAATCTCAGGGCGAGGTGCCAAATGCCAGGAGGACAAGCTATGCTTACATGGCATATCCCGGCCCCCTCCCCACCACTTCACATTTTATGCCACCCTTCTCCCCCCAAAAAGTCTCAGTACCTCTCTCACTTCTCTTTTCCCTGCAGGACAAAAACAGAGGAGGACACCAACAAAAAATATCATGTATTTTGGAAACACTTTCAGACAGCACAGAGGCACCCGTGGCTACCATGCAACTAACTGCACGTAACCCTGATCTCAGCAGATCTTGGAAGCTAAGCAGGGTCGGCCCTGGTCAGTATTTGGATCAAGACCCGCAGGGAAATCCAAGCTTGCTGTGCAGAAGCAGGCAATGGCAAACCACATAAGTGTCTGTCTCTTGCCTTGAAAATCTTAAGTGTCTGTCTCTTGTCTTGAAAATCTTACATAAGTCAGCTGTGACTTGATGGCACAAACAAACTGTATTGGGATTGGCTGAGCTTGGAGCACAAGAATAATAGCCTGCCAGGATTCTGAAAGTAACCAATCTAGTAGTAACGTTACGTAAATAGCCTATCACTGGGAGTGGGGCACATTTGGGTGTGGCAATCGCTTGCTATTTAACAGAGCTGAGGCTCCGGAGTCTGGTCTTGCTCTTGCTGAAATTGCAAATAAAGCTGAGCTGATCACTAGACTCGAGCCTGCTCATCCATGGAACCCACTATTTAACACACACACACAAAATCATTGCTTCAAGGGATATGGCATGGTTCCCAAAGGCATCCAGTCGCCACTATGCAAAGGAAAAAACAGATCTATTCCAAACACAAAAATTAACCCAGTGAGCAGTCTGATCTGTCGATCTAGGCTCAGGCTGTCAGATTTAGACAGGCAACGGCTCTGCAAGGTTTCTTGCTGCACTGGTAATTTCCCCTGCATGGAGCTCATAGCGGCCGCAGGAGGGAGGGAGTTCAGATGGAGGAAACGGCATGAGTGGGAAGTGCACGCCCCGCCCCCCTCTAACTCACCTGGCTTAATTAGCAGCCCCATGGGGCCGCTTGGAAGCTTCCACACGCACAAGTCCTGACCTGGAAACCCCCCCCCCCCCCAATCACATCTAGCAGCCCTGCTGCTTCCACAAGAACCTGAAGAGGCTAGCACAATGGTAACCAGGAGGGGCGAATCTATCTCCTCTTATACTTTAAAGGGAGGAGATGATTAGCTGCCTCCCACTCTCATCCTGGGTTTCCTGGAACCTTCCGTGAAAACAAGCTCACTGAACCTACTTGGGAGAAAATACAGTGCTCCCTCTAAGCTGTGGGAGTCCTGTGAGCAAAAAATCTACTTTGTGAGCCTGCTGGCATTAAAGTTATCAGCAAGTGATTTGGCCACTGCAGAAATTAGTTTGCTCTGGAGCCATCCTTCCTGAGCTAAGACAAAAATGTGTGAGCCGGAGGCTAAAAAACTGTCAGCTAGCTCACACTAACTCAGCTTAGAGGGAACACTTTGTTGACTTAGGAAGAAAGCTCAGGCGGGGGTGGGGGCAACGATGGCTCCCCCCGTGTCTTTTTTAACATTCATCTCAGCGTCAAAATCAGCCACTGATCCTCAGCTATAAATACATTTATAACAATTGCAGAGGTGATGATGGGGTCAGGACGCCACCTTCTCATCAGGGCTCCTTAGGCCTTTGGAACAGGTGAGTCACAGGTAAAAATTCCGCAGGTAAAGCTTTTCTTGCCGGGGCTCCGATGCCTTTGGACAGCTGAAGGACAAGCAAATATTCACCTGTCTCAGCATTCTTCTGCCACCTCTGCATCTCCGTGCCGACAACAGCCAAATCTGTTCAATTGTTGCTTGCCATTCAGCTCTTTGAGACAGAAGTGCTCTGCTCAAAAAGAGAGAAGGAGAGAGATGGCAACTTTGCCTTTGGGGGTGCTTTTCTGGTGGGAGATACCCTAGTTTGTGGGCCCAAGCTGGAACACATGAAACTGCCTTATCTCAAATGTGAAACAGTCTTTCACAGTCAGTGCCGTCTACTCTGACAGCAGCAGCGGCTCTCCAGAGTCTCAGGTAGAAGCCAAACGGATGCTTTTAACAGGAGATGCCGGGGATTGAACCAGGGACCTTC